ATTTTAGAACATCAAAGTTTCCATGGTGGTTTATGAAACTGGAACTATTATAAACTCCAAACAGGCTTCAGTGTACTCACTGAGCTGATTCACGTGTAATTCCCAACCATGGTTTGGTGTTGTATGAATGAGACTCACGTTCATCCACTCCCTTCTCTTCTTCCCATCTCCTCTTCATTCTACTATTGCATGTTTTGCTTACCACCCTGGCTTCTTAACTTGCAGCAAATCATAGTATGTGATTATATACAGTTGAGTGATCTGTAGTTTTTACATAGCTAGCCTGCAGACCAGAATTAGAAACCATATTTGAATGTACTAGAGTAAACAAGGGAAACAAGGGAACAAGGCAGAGGGCCTTCTCGGTAGTGGCGCCCGCCCTGTGGAACGCCCTCCCATCAGATGTCAAAGCAATAAACATCTACCTGACATTCAGAAGACATCAGGGAAGTTTTTAATATGTGACATTTTAGTGTATCTTTCATCTTTGTTGGAAGCCACCCAGAGTGGCTGGGGAAACCCAGCCAGATGGGCGGGGTACAAATAAATTATTATTATTATTATTATTATTATTATTAAGCATAAAAGTTAAGAAGCAGGTTTGCGGGATTTCAGTGGTGGGAGGGTGAAAGCCGCTCTGCCCCACATAAACACAGATACACTCCCAGTCATCCTTGGGACCCTGTGCTGGCCACCTCTGAAAGATAAATTATCCACTTAAGGGTGAGATACATGATTAGCATCAAGGGTAGTTTGAGGGTGTAAAACCAAGTGTACCTTGAGTAATCATCTCTTCAGAATTCTTCAAATTTTGAACTCAAACCCAAAGGTTATTGATTGGCCCCCAGTGCTTACACCAGATTCAACTAATTGGCCTTGCAAGTGGAAGACCAAAGGACTTTTTCTAGCACAGTGGGGCTGTCCTCTCCTTGTATGCCCTCCACACCCCAAATTGGCTGAGGGTCGGGTCGGAAGAACTTCCCAGGACAGTTCACAGAGGGAGAAGAGGGGAGATGGTTCTGCTGGGCAAGCAGATTGAACATTTGTAACAGTGTGACACTGAATTCCTCCCATGGTGTCCAATTTTTTGATAGGAAAAAGGCAGAGCGCCTTCCGTTTGACTCTACAGAGTCTAGAAGGGAATGGTGGGGATTTTCTACAATACCAGTTTTTATATGCTGGACTGGATACTACTGTTTAGAATGTGGGTTGTCGCCCACGGACTAGGGAGACTAAAAAATAGTAATATGCAGGTATTTAGGTTAAATGTAATCCAGAAAGCATAATGCACCTCAATTTGGGTGGGAAGAAATTCTGCATTTCAGTGGTAGGTTGCTGGTGTGGTACTTTAAAAACAGTAGGTAAATGGATGTTAATACTTAAACCATTATTCTGCATGGTGCAGGAGTAGGGAACGTATGACACCCCACATGTTGCTGAATTACAAGTTTCATCATCACTGAGACCATTGGTCATGCTTGCTGTGGCTGATGGAAGGCCAACAACTTCTGGAAGTGTACCCCTGAACATGAGTCTAAATATATATATTTACAAAATGCCTGTTTGTAAATAGCAACAAGTTGTGTGGCTCCACAGTAAGAACAAGTACCCGGTTTTCAATGTATCAAACCCGGTTGACACGTAGTTTGAGTGTGGCTTAGGAATTAGAAAACAGGGCTAAGATGAAGCCATTCATACTGAGGAAACACAAGTGGCTTTCTTGGCAGGCTACTTTGAAGACGATTACAGTGATATTGCAATCTCGGTGTTGATTGTGGCATGGTTGGGCACATCTATAATTTTTGCCTAGATCTAATCAGCAGCTAATAAAGAAAGTGGGGAGGAGGGAGTAGCTAGAATAAATATACAGTATACCAGGAAGGAAAATATTTAGGGAATGTTGCATTCAGGAAAACAAAGCAAGCAAGCACTGCTTTAAATTAGGAAATGTGCATTAGGAAAAAGAAATATTTCAGTTCTGGATGCATTTGGGTGTGCTACAGAATACATTTTCAGAGTAAGCATGTCTATCAGGGCTTTAATTGCTACACTTAGAAGAATGTCCTCTCTTCTCTACCCGCCCCACCCCCCTCAACCCGACAAGAAGCCAGAGTTAGCTGCGCAAATGAACAGGCTTCACAAGAATCAGATTCTCTTTGGACGACTCTTCACATTCCCAGTCATCATTACATTTAGGCAGCACAATTCCGCCTCTGGTTGATGGGCAGAGAAAGTGGGCAGCTTGCCAGGTAGACGTTACCATGACTCCCAACCCCCAAAGGTGATGCATTTTTCAGCTAATTCAATGAAGAGTGGGCTGAACTTTGGGTATAAACTAGACAATAGCTGCCTTCGCAGTATCAGCAGAATGGTTTATGGGAATGCACTCCACATTTGGCTGAAAAAAAATCATGTGACCTTACGGCTGAGATTTTGCAGTGGTGCCAACGGAGACTTGGAAAGATGCAACCCCTGGTTTCTTTTCCCTCGTTCCTTATGTGGCTCAGAAAATGGTGGATCTTAATACTTGACTTTAACCAGACTCAGCAAGCAATAGAGCCTTGAAGCACAACTTTGCCTTTCTTCTTCTTTTCCCTTTTTTGGCAGGCCACCAAGAGGCTGCCCCTTTCACGCCTGATACAGTCTGTTGCTTATCTGTCTCCTGATAGATGTGAGGGAAAGAGGAGGAAATCCTAAACAGAATATTTAGGGTTAAAAAGAAAAAGAGAGCTGCATTTGAAAAGGACAAATTCAAGAGAGAGTCGTCGTTTTGTTTGAAAGGTGGCATGGCAGCATTTGGGAGGTAGTTTACGACAAGCCTTTTGGGCGTCTGGAGAATAAAAGTTTCAAGTGTTTGGATATGCTGGCGTTGGAGCTGGGCAGACCCGACAACAGCATTGAACATGAGATCATTGCAAGCACAGTGTAAGCAACTGGCACTCTGCCTCTCTGCCCCTTGGCTTCGGCAGATTTATGCAAGCATCATTTATGAAACCAGCACAGGAGTTCAGTGGATTTTTTCCCTCCTCTCCCCCCCGGCTTGCCCTGCTTCTGGTCCTGCACAGGCGGCCACCGCAAGGATTGGTGCAGTTTTTGCGCAGTGCCATGTGCCTGGAATTCTGAGAAGAACGAGAAAGACGGCAGACACCCCGTTCCTCACTCCTGGATCTAGACGGTGCCTAGGAAGCTACAAAGTCTGAGTTTGGGAAGAAAGTCAACTGACTTGTTCACAAAAAATAATAAACACTGGCATGTTTAACTACAGGAGCTTCAAGATGTCTTAGGGCTTCTTAGGACATAATTAAATCAGCTGAGATGTTCGATTCATTTAAAAATGTGTTTTTGTTGCATCAATAGGTTGCAATGAGTGATAAAGCACCTTTTGAAACAGGTATAGCAGATATTGTTAATTTGTTTTCCTTTTGTTTTGAAGCTGAAATCCTTGTCTTATTCACTTAAACGTTCTTGACCAATCACACTGCTGAAAAGATCTTTTTATTTCAGTCATGTCTGAGTACTGCTAAAAATACAAAAGTAAACAGAGGCTGGAGAATGTTATGATTAACTTTGGGCCACGTTTAATCTTAGCTAAGTGCTGAAGTAGTGCAAAGTCATCTTGTCTTATGGCTATTCAGGATAAATGTTGACTATAATCTCTATATGCCTTCAGGTATATAGACTGCTGCTACAAAAAAACGCAGGCTAATTTTTTCATTCCTGCTTCACAAAACTAGTACAATGGGTCTGCCCTCTCGTCAGTGCTTTGAAACAATAATGTAATTCTTCTAATGCCTATGAAAGTTTATCACTATTTCTGTCTAACTGCATTATGAAGAATTCAGTGGCATAAGGACAGAAATGAAAAGCGTGTTATTATAACTTTCATATTGCAAGTCTGGTTTTCAGTTAGTAACAATGTCTATTTTTGGATGTTTGGTAATGGAGCACTTGTCCAAAAATAGTTAGGTGGACAAAAATGCGAGGCCACGCATTCAATATTTGTTTACAAAGAAGCTATGCACAGTTACTCGTGGCATTAAAGGATAATGCCGCCTCAGCAAATCAGTTTCCTTTAAACTGTTCCGTTGCTGTACAGCTTTTATATTTCTAATCAGAAATAATTTAAGTTGGAACACTGGAAAATAATTGTGCACATCAATGGGCAATGTTTGTAACCCTTTCCATACTTCTAAGTTTTGTTTTGTGTCTTTAAAAAAGCAGCTCCAACTATGAATCATAACTTAGATTTAAAATTTTGAAATGATTTGTGTGAAAGTGATTGTTTTCTGTTGTGCAGGTTACACATGCTAGGGACATGAAGGGTAAATATTTCTAATAGTTTGTGGCATGATGTCAAATGTGGATTCTAACATGCTGTTTTGAACTTTGCAAGGAGTAGAGAAAAAACAAAGAACAGTGAGAAACTGCCAAGGGAGGATAATTCACATTTGACAAATATAAGTCCTTAACTAGGATTTACACTGAAGCATTAATTAGCTTGATTATATATTTTTTTCCCTAGCTGTTGTAGTAAAAGAATTGCATATTGGAATTAAAATAAATATGCCAATAGATCTCCGTGCTGTAATGGAAAAGTAATTATTGTGTAGACTAAGAAGTTATTGCTTATGTGAACAGATAAATCACTGTATTTAAAAGTTTTATAGTTTTAGGCTGCAATCCTATGCAACTTTCATGAAAGTAAGAGTAAACATGCTTAGGATTGCACTTTTATCTTTCTACTCAAGTAGCACTTTTTCATTTTATTAAACATGCAAATCTATTTTGTCCCTCTTTGCTTGTTTGTAGCAGACAAGCTTCTATATATTTACATATTTTAAATAAGTGTGCTTTTTTCTTACTTTTGTCTAATAAATTAACTTTATATGGTTTCAACAGGAGCACACATTTCTTTGTGCATAGTATCATGATCAAGAGACCTTCTAAAATGGATCGTATTGTAGAACATTTTAATGTTGTGTTTCTTCATTTTGTTATAGTGCTGTGAAAAATTAAAATGGAAAAGAAAACCGAAGAACTGGATCATGTAAGAACTGAATGAAGGTAATACAATGTTAAACACATATGTGACTATTTTCATATTTGAATCATGTTCTTAAAGCATTTTTAACAATTAGCATTTCATTTTAATTGAATAATACCTCTTGAATATTGATTTGATTACTGAAAAAAAGTGCAGTTCAACTGGCTTTTCTGTTCCTTGTTGTTTTCCTTTCAAATATCTTGGTTTCATTTACCACAGAGAGAGTATTATCAGTGAAGGGAAACAAGTTAGAATTGCAGAATTAATGTAACTAAACTAACAACAGGTGTGATATAGAATGGACTTTGGGGGATCCAGCATATATTCCACACTCATCTGTATGGTATGGTAAATGTCTGGTCAAACTTTTCCATGGCACTCCCCTAAAATAAATGTATAACTGCAAAACTGATCTCCATATTCATAATTATGCTGTTTAAAATACGATTTTAAGAAATTAAGGATAAACATTTCTGGGAAGATGAATTAATTATTTGGATTAAGTTACAAATATTTTAAAAGCAGCATTGTTGCTAGATGCTCATTTCTGAAGTGGGAAATATAAATAGAATTTCTGTTGAATAATGACTAAAATACCAAATAACTTCAGTTACTGGCCTGCAATGTCCGAAACTTAGATGCAAGTTACTTGCCCCCAAACAACAATATATCCAACCACTGACATTTGGGTCATTCTAAACATTTAGTGCTAGAACACTTTTCTTATTAAATTACCGATGAATAAAAACATTTTGAACCTGATTCGTAAGCTTTAATGCTAAAGAGAACAACATTTTGATTGATTAATACCCATATAGCTAGTATTTGGATTAATCAATGAAAGACATTGACTTAAAGCTATATGTTTAGTGTAGATGGTGTTATTTATTTATTTTTTAAAAAAGGATATAGCACCTCTGTCCTAAAATATATCTATGCTATGTAGGATTTTTTTTAGTTAAAATAATGGTGTTTATGTTTATGAAAGACACTTGGAGGATAATTCCTTCAGGATGCAATCTATTTACCAAGGATTGAACCCCATTAATTCAGTGGAACTTACTTCAAAGTAGACATGGATAGGATTCGATTGTCAGAGAACCTGTTGATACTTCAGAAAGGCTGCTTCCAGATGCGGCAGAAGGCCTCATAACTTGATTCAATAAAAACTAGGATAATTTATTAATAGCCACAAGAGGAGAATTTTTTACATTTGTCATTGTTGTTTGGGTCAACATTTATGAAATTTTGAGTAAATATACTCTACTGTAACGCAAATAATACAAAGTTTGCAGTATGCTAGTACTTTCACTTGGAGCAGATATGTTTTGATTCTTGGACATGATGTATTTTCAGATTCAGTAGCTGGATTTTCATTGTTTGTAACATATCGTTCATTCATCAGGAATCATATTAAATCTGCATAGTTTCCCTCCCTCCCCCTATTTGGTTTACGAAATTTGAGGTGCTGTTATTTTGATAGCTCAAAACCCACTTGAATCTGCTACCATATAACTTTGTATCTGTTTTGCGTAGTTTTTGAACATTCAAACTGTTTCTTATCTTTCCCTTAATGTGCATTTGGAAGTTGTTGTTTGTCAACATAAATGCTTAGCAATGATTTGTTCTAACTTGCTCCCACACTGCTTAATCTGAAAGATGATGCCAGTTGGCATAAACCCGTAGATCCGATCTTGTGGTGAAGTGTACTGCACAAGCTCGCTTCTATGGGTCTGTGTCAGTCTGGTGATCTGACCCAAATATATATATATAACAAGTCACAACTTGGGTAAAAAAAGACTGATTTTTGAGCAACTATTGTCAAAGAGAATGGATGTTCCTTTTTTCAAATTTATATTTTGGTTTTAGCATTGTCATTATTGAACATATGAGGGAGAAATGTTCTATCTTACTATTTTTCTGTTTTGTGTTTTTATCTCTTCAAAGCAGAATACATTTAAATTCACAATACATTTCCAGAAAAGAGTATGGAAAATGGGCAACGATTAAAAGCAGTGGCTGTGATCTGCCAAGGGAGAACTCAAAAGACCATTTGGCTTTCTGATTGTCACCTATGGACGTTTCCCAGGAATATTGGATTGACTATTCCATAGCTCAGGCATGTCCAAAGTACGTTTAATCAGGTCCCCATGGCAGTATATGTCCTGAGATAAAATCATAAAAACAGCTCAACAACTTTGGGGTAAAATTGTAAAAAAGCTCAACAACTTTGGGCGGCCCTCACGCATGTTCATTTCATCAAATCTGGCCCTCTTTGAAAAAGGTTTGGGCACCCCTGCCATACTGGTAACAAGAAACCATGTGTATACAGGGCTCCAGGTTGTGGCAGTTGGCCTCAATCCTGCAAATACTTCCAAGTGCTTAAATCCCAGTAGGATTTATAAACTCAGAAAATAAGGGTCGTTTTGCACAATTTACTAAAGAGATGTTCACAGCATATCTCTGTATGTGTTCCCAGTAAAGTGTGAGAACCATAAAGTTTGAATTGTTTGCTCACACGTAAACAAATACTGAGGGAAGTAATTGGCTAATAGACATGCTACTTATTCCTTTTTTTAAAAAGCACAAGGAAATACCAGGAATAGCATCTGGAATCTTCTGCATGCCAAACATGTGCTCTAACGGTGTGGTATAGTTTAGCTATTACATACCCTCGCTATAATGGTGTGAATGGCCTCAAAAACATTACTTACAAGGTGAAACAATTTAAATGCATTTGCTTGATATGTACTAGGGGAAACTCACATGGATGTTCAGTATGCTCTCATGATTTGAAAGAGGGTTGCTGATTCTGTGGAAGCACACACAATATCAACAGGACAGAAGCAAACTCCTCAGTGATCCTTCCATGTTCATATTAAACATGATGGAAACTGATTAATGGTAAGTGTCTGCCATATTTGAAAGAGATGCAGAAGATCAGAAGAAGACATTGGAAGCTGTGTGCATCCGGGTTGAGGTAGTAGGTTGTATGGTTTAGAGTTACACCCTGGGAGTTAACTGTACAACCTTCTAGCTTTCCTTGGAGCACACTTGAACCATCGAGGAATTCATCATCTTTTTAATCTAATAAAGTGAACTCTGTGTAGTAAATGTATATGGAGTAATCACTCTGAAGCTTTATTGATGCTCACATACTCCTTATTACATGGTTATTTCATTTACAGCATATTAGGAACTATGCTAACATGTTCTCCTAATGGACTGTGACTGCACATCACAGATATTTGAGAAAGAATGATGGCTACTTTAATTATATCAGCAGCAAAGCTGGAAAAGCTGACTTAATCGCTACATACAGAAACTGACAAATATTTATCTCTGCCGTTTTTCCTCTTAAGACTTATCTGAAATAGTTTAAATTTGATGTAACTAACTCTAGAGCAATACTTAACAAAAAATAATGATTTAATATGAGACTAGATCATGTGTATGTCTGCTTACACAAGTTACAGCTTCTCTGATGAATTAGTGTGACAGGTGCCCTTTAGATATTCTCACAGATGTGTCATAACCTTTTTTCCACATGGATGGGAGTAGGAATTGACAGATCAGCCATTGCTGGTTTGCATTTATTTTGTATATTTTTATTTTTATTAATCTGGGGGGAGGGGTGTTAAAAAAAGCAACAGTGCAAGAAATGTAATTAAATGTGCATTTTATCTATAGGTGTATGTGTGTCTGTGTGGGTGTGGGTGTGTAGTTTATCTTAGTGTATGCATTTCCAAACACATCTTCTTATACATATTGATACAATTTTAAAAGTCAAGAACTGTGGCAGAAAATTCTGAGAAGCGTGAAATCTAAGGGATAATTAAGTTCCAATCCATGTATTCACCCTGAAATTGCAAACTAGGTCAGTTCCTGAAAAATGTGGACCGAATGAAATTTTTCCCCACCCCTAACTGGGAGATTATTTAAATGACTCAACTATGTGATGTATAGTGACAGTCACATGGGTTCCCCAATGCCAGTTCTATGGCATATGGGCCGGAGTGATTATTCTTGGTCTTTCCTACAAAATTGGCATTGAGGAAGCCATGTGATCTCAGCACCTCAGCCCACATAGTTGCATAATTTAAATTGTCTCTGAACCACTTGGGTATTGCTCAAGGGGATCCCACATGGCTGGAAGAATATCTGAACACTGCAAATTATTCTTTAGCTAGTCAACAGTCTTGGAGCCAAGCTAAGATCACCCACATGATGTTTCTGTTGTTAGATTGTACCACTTCCAACTGCAGTTTAAATCCTTTCTCCTTCTGTAGGGGGGCATGGCTAAAATGTAAGTTTTTAGTTTAGAATTTGCAAGACATTGCAGGTTTTCTTGAGGGAACGTGAAGTATTCAATCCCTCACCTGGAGTCTCAGCTGGCAGAGCCCAGCTATGGATGACATCATATGAGACTTCTTTTTGTGGAAGTAGCTGCTGGGGACTTGGAGGACAGAATAACTGAGTGAATGGGGATCTGAATGCTGAATGTTGTAATCCTTTGTCCTCACTGGTTTAAGTGAGCATGTATTACCTGATTTGCAAAAATATTTTCACATTGCTGCTTTTTCATGCTAGTCCCTGTTTGGGCTAAATATAAACAGATATTGCACAAATATTGCACAAATATAAAAGATACAAAAATAGAAAAGGTGACATCTTGGACTTAATTTGACCTCTGCTCTTGCTGAATTTTGGCAAAATTAAACAGAAGATGGCTCACCAATCCAAGCTGTAATATGTTGCTTTTCTGTTTTGTTTTTTCTAGTCTCTTCAACTAATGTCAAAATTCCCACTGTATCAGCTAAGAATAGTCCATACTCCTGAGTTCCTTCACTTCACAATGTGGTCCCTGTGCAGATGTTCTAAATGTGCAGGCTGCATAAATGGTGGTGGGTGTGATCATGCTAACTGTCCATACTTCTTTCCTGCACCAAACCATCATATGGTTAAGGCCTGTCTGCAAAGGGGTCTAAGCATGTACATACATGAGCTCCAAATGCATGAT